TGGTATCGTCACAGCTTTAAGTCCCGTGAAAACACGGTTGCCATGGTGATTCACCCCGCGGCATCGGGGGAAAAAGCTCATACTTAACGCTGCTTTTTTGCCTCGCTTGATGGCACGCGAAATACCGGCGTCATAAAAAATATCTAGTTGATTTAACACGTAAGATTTCGGATAACCGAAGAGATGACACTGGCAAGGATCGATGGAATCCAGTTGCTGGTCCCCATGCTGCTCACTTTTCATCTGAAATGTGCATTTTGTTTTGACGGCTTATCCGACGCAGCGATGTACTGCCGTTTTATGACCGTGCAAATCAAAATTATCAGACTTAAAGTTTGGAATAATATACCAAAGAGGTGTGAGCGTCGGGTATTTGCCAACGTCTGCTTATAAGTACTGACTCAGATATGAGTTTAACAATGAGATCATGTCTCCTGGATGCTATTTAAGGCAGTGGGCTATAGGAAACATTACTGCGCCAGTGATCTGTATCGCCTGGTGTCAAGCACCATTTTGGTTGGGTTTTATATGTCATAGGATGTGTTAGAATATGAAATACGACTGCACGCCACTTAAGCTATCTTGGTAATATCATGTCATTTTCAATATATTTAATATCATAAATGAACAGACCTATTCACCGGACGCGAGTAACGGCCCTCGTGGCACGGGGTAGCATGCTGCTTGCCCCGGACCTGCCTGGGTTTGGGCCCGCAGTTGGGCGTCGTCCCACTCGTCAACGACTTTACAATCCCGGAGCCGCCACGCCTGTCGACGGCCACGGACCGAGTTACGGGTGGCCATGCGTGACAGAAGGTCGTCCACTGGGCCTCATTTTCCTGGCGCTGGTCAAGGCGCTGGGCGGCGTGACCGCCCGGCTCACCCTGCGCAGCGAAAAGTCCTGGCCCTGGGACGCGGCCCCCCTCCTGTCGCTGCCCACCGCCGACGGCCTGCAGGAGCTGCTATTCGATTCCGAAGCGGTGTCCTCTTGGTATCGGCGTAAGCGAGAGTGACCATTGATCGAGCTGCCGACCGGTCTGCCCGCCAACCCTCTGGTCGTATTGCTGTCTACCCGCTGATCACACTGCTGTTGGTGCGATTCAACAGATCCAACAAGAATTCAAAACACGGCCTGAAGTATGCAGAGGGGTCCAGCAAGAACCAAGAGCCAGCTTGCATTGTGTCGCTAGATCCACGGAGCGCAAACGTTAAGTCAATAATATGACCAGAAACCCCGCAAGAACCCGGAGCCAGCCTATCTTCAGGACCTGGCAACAACCAAGGTGCAGAAACATGTCAAAGCCAACAACAAAGACCAGGATCTCATCTGAAAGCATTGTTAATCCATTACGTATTCACTTGATAAACTTACGTTATCCAGCGTGCTTCCGCAGCTATTAAAGCACATATGTGAGAGACCTTTGATATCAGGCACCATTTCAATAACAGAATGCTATCAAATAGCAACCCGAGCTGGTGTTGACGAATGAGCCAGTGACGAACGGGGGTCGGGATCGAACGTTTTGTGAGTGAATTAATGGGATCAAGCGGTTTGTGAGTGAATTAGTGGGATCACACGGTTTGCGAGTGAATGAATGGAATCCAGAAACGAGGGTGCGGTATTTGTAACGAACCAATTGAAACTTGTGATCATATGTTCGGTTTGGAAACAACAGGTGAGAACTAGGAGCCAGAGCCTGTTATTTGCAAAATAACCCACGTGATTCAGTAACCAAGGACTAGTGATAATGAAAGAGCTAGCCGAAGCGAGGGATCTAAGGCCTCGTTTTGATGAGAGTAAGTAGGTACCAGAAACCGACATTGAAAGCCAGGCACATGTTTGCTGGAAACGGTTTTTTTTAAGGGCAAACACGAATATAGATGCAGTGGCAATGTCAAATGTGATATTTTAATTCATTATATACCATCATGTTTATCAGCACGCTCAGTAGAGCTATTTTTCGCTGACATCAGATCGAATATTTCCTGCTTGTGAACTCTGGTTCCGAAGAAAAATATCCCAATGAAAACAAACTATTTGTACCAATTTCAAATATTACCACTTTTATAAATTGTCCACGCTGTAATGTCGTGCAAGTATTGTTGTAATGGTGCAACATATGACAGTTTTGGTCTCGTGTAATAGTTTGACATGGGCCGGAAATTTTCTAAATTGTCACTTCGCAGCTTCCCCAAAGCCATAGACTACATTTACGGAGACCGGAGCGTTCTATCTTATTGTTTTTATAGCCTTGCTCTGGTCCATCAAAGGACGAATATAATCTCCGAATTCGCGGCTTCCCCAAAGTCATAGGCTAAGACAATAGTAGTAGCCTTATTCCTCGGAGAAAAACCAGAACAATGGAGATATAGTTGAGTCGATATTTCGGCAACATGCCTTTATGGAAATAATAGCAGAAGACGTCTGCTATTGTTTCGATTTTATTTATTCTAAAGGCATGCTGCCGAAATATCAACCCAGCTATATCTCCATTGTCCTGGTTTTCTCTGAGGAATCAGGCTATTACTACTGTCTTATCTATGTGAATAATGTTTCTCGCTAATGCACTGAACAACTCACGTCAAGCCACAGGCTCTACATTTACGGAGACCGGATCACTCAACCTTATTGTTTGTATAGCTCTGGTTTGGCGTGCCATCTCGTGTTTTTACGGGCAAGAGCATGCTTCGATTTCCGTTGGATCTCGGTGCGGAAAAATACAGATGTGATAGCTGTGGGTCCGTCTGCCATAGCTGCAGACGGCGCGTATTGTATTGCTGCGTCGGGAATAGATCTATGGAATATCATTTAAAAGATAATATTTGGGTGTAAGGTTTTGAACTACACCGACCTCGAATCGCATGTCGTACTAGCAGCGCAACTTTGGGAAATCATGGGGCTTTAGCCTCCCACTCCGCCGCCGTCAGCTTCGAGCGTAGCTCATCACCACAACGGTCCTGAATAGGATTGTTCATGTCCACTTTATTCACGTATCATTGCAACAAGTAGTTTATCTCTTGATTCAGTACAATTGTAATATGAGTACATTATTAAAGCATGCCAATAACGTGAATTCCGGAATCTGGTTATCAGGAAAACTATTTTGTTTGTCTCCCAGACACTAGCATGGGCAGCGGCACGTTTAGACCAACAGCGGAATGAGGTACGGGTAGTGAACTGAGACTCGATCGCAGGAAATAGTCCCCCTCCGCCATCGCAAATGATGGTGGCCCCTCCCCTCCCATTTGCAAATTTTGGCTGTACCTCTGTGCCTTACAGATGCTCCGATAGCTCTGGACGTCGCAACAGTCTGTCACTTTGTTCGTTGGTCTTACCATGAAGAGCTCAAAATTGAGACATCACGCAGAATGTCACAAGCTGCATCGCAATTGAGATTTTGGTTTTGGCCACCATGACAAGGTGGGCTTATTTTATAGGGACTTTTGGGCGGGCAAGTTAGGTGCGATTTTTAAGGATGTCATTTGTAACTAGCGCTATACTTCGTCGCATATTGTTACGTAGATGCGTGGCTGGCAGCCGAGAAATTCGCGGCATACATTTGGTACGGAGTTTCTAATTTGCCTCCGAATATGCCAGGGGCGTAGTCAAGACGTAGCCAAGGCGTAGCCAAGGTATAGCCAAGGTGTGCGCCCTCCCCCACGAGCCTGAGGAATGGTGAGAAATTGTTATAGAGTTATGCTGAGAAAAAGAATAGAAGGGTTTGGTAGAAATTTGGGCCAACTGCGCAGGATTTTGGAAATAATTTTAGTGACCCCTCCTTCCCCCGGTACAATTTTGGCTATGTGCCTGAAGTCTATCAACTACCGGGTCCCAGACTGTCCAGACGCTACATGGATCAATGAAAGTTTATGTGATTGTTAGACGCGGGTGCAAATGTTGCTTTGCGTTATTTTGGGTAGGTCACTGCCCTCACCCAACCCACCATCACCCCAATGACCGATTTGTTCCTCCTCCCTCAAGTGTGAGTTTGGCTTCCTAACTTCTGGAACGTATGTACAAGCGGATCATTAGAAATAGGACCTAAAATGGGATCAATATTTAAGAAGGTTTCTAAGACTTGTTTCCCAGGTGCAAAGAACAAAGGTATTGATGGCTGCGATAACATGCTCGGTGAGGACAGCTAACAGGGGGTCACTTAAGAGTTCAACAACACTTAAGAGTTCAGCGTTTGTGCCGTATTTAGTTGGCTATTTTCTGGTTTTGCCCGAGGCATCTTCAGTAAGGTCGTGATTTAACGAATGTAAGATGAGCGGCCAATTTAAAAGAAGCCTCGGAGCCACACCCGTTACTGTCACTTGGAGTTCGCTGATGTGTTGAAATGCACGCCTTGCTGTTTTGCCTTCGTTCGATGTGTCGCCTCCCCCTGATTTGTGCTGACTGAACACGAAGCTCGCCTTTTTTCTAGCACGCCGTTGTGCCATTTTCTTGTGTTACAGTCCGTTATGTCAGACTGTCGTCGGTCTTTAAAGACCAAAATATGGTCAAACTTTAAAGACCATTCGTGTCAGCAATCGATAAAACACGCTCTGACGATCCCTCTCATGCAAACACATTTTTGACATGGCATATTTATCATTCTTGAATGCACGACAAACATTGCAATTGACAGAACAGAGATGTCAGCAGACAACAGAAAAGTTCCAGCCTTATGCACATGAAAACCAACAACAAGAAGCTCATGTGACCTCCAGTAGGGATTTTACATAGTCTGATCAGTTTGATGGTGGAAAACAACAAAGCGGGACGACGTCGAACATTTCAGAAATCGATGTTTCGGCCACGTTCGAACCGTAATCTGCGCAGTATGCCGCGGCGTGGCCCGCACCAGGGGCCGCGGTCGTCGCTGGCCATGACGCCTGCCGCCAGCACGACCAGACGCAGGTGCCGCCCCGATCGGTGACGGCACGGTCGGTACGTCGGCAGAGGGGGAGAGGCGTCAGCGCTGGGCTCGACAGCTGAACGTGCCGCTGTCCACCAGGTACCTGATGCTGAAGGCGCAGGCCGGGCTGGCGGCCGAGCTGCTGGGGGACCTGCGCGCCGCCCAGCTGCCCGACTCGCCGGCGCGCCGGCTCTACCTGGAGCACCCGCACGTGCGCGAGGTGACCGAGTTCGTCTCGCACAGCCTGCACCTGTTCTTCAGGTGAGCGGCCGTCGCCCGGCCACTGGCGGACGGGAGTGGCGGCTGCGGCGTGGACGCGCTGCGCGACGCTGCGCGACCCTGCGTTCGTGACCGGTGACGAGTTTGATGCCGTGGCCGCGACTGGTGGTGTGTGTGTTACCTGCTGCCTGTCACGGGGGATGTGTTTGAACTCGGATTTAGGACAGGTGATATGTGACCTTAGGTTTGTGTCAGGTGGCGTATAACCTGGGGTTCGTGACAAGAAATATGTGAGCTCAGGTTTATGACGAGTGATGTGTATGACATGGAGTTTGTGACAGGTAACGTGTGACCTCGTGTTTGTGACAAGTGACATGTGACTTCGGGTTTGTGACATTTGACATGTGCTCTGGGGTTTGTAATAGGTGACATGTGACCTCAGGTTTGTGACAGGTGACATGTGACCTTAAGTTTGTGACAGGTGACGTAGGACCTCGGGTCTAGAACGGATGTCGTTTGTGACTCGGGTTTGTGATGGATGACGGTATGCGACCAAGTATGCAAGGATAGCGACAGGCGACAAGAAACCTTATACACCTAATACAGCTTACAAAAAATATCCTGACAAGCTCCCGGCGCGGATCATACTGATAAGCCAAAAAGCACATAAACCTTCGTCATCTGACGTAATGCCAAAAAAGACCTAGACAAACCTTTGACACCTGGCATGATGGCAATAAAAATCACCCGACAAACCTCCGGCACCTGGCAGAACGTTTTACGCGTGCCGCGCGCCAAGTTTCGTATATCGCTGAACGTTGTGGGTCATGTGTCGCTTGTTCGCGCCTGGTACACATTACATTTAATATTCGCCACGTTCCATGTATCCGCTGTAGCAGCGGGAGTGGTTGTGGCTTCGTATAGCGGCAGTCTCTGGAGCGAGATCAATAGGCGTATTCATTATTCGCGGAGATTTATGGCACTAAGCAGCAGGCCGCATTTAGGGCTTCCTGTAAGGCGTAGTTAGCTTGCTCAGGTGGTGCTTCTTTCCAAGGCACGCCGAGAAATTGATTGAGTATTTGAGACCAGCCTTGATGAAAAACATGACGACGGCTTGCTATGCTGATAGTTGCCATAGCAGCGTCTTATAAAGAACTTTGTGCGCAGTTGTTTGTTCTGTCCGCCAAACGCCGGTGGCGCCGTATTGCCGCTCCCCTGCGGGCGTGCCTTCGGGTAATGCGGGGCAGCGTGGGCAGCGTCAGCACCGGTGGCCTGCGGCCGGCCCCGTCGAGTGGGGTCGGGCCGCCCGGGGTGAGAATTCCAGTCTCGGCTGGCGGCACCAGCTGGGACCGGAGTTCTCTGCGTAGAGCTATCGAGCAAGGGACGTGCCCATTGGGACCCCTTTATCAAGGTGACGCACTTGAACTGCGGGGGCGACTGATGCGTTTAATGGTTTCTTCGGAATAAAGTAACGCCATCTACAGTCGTTGCGGTGCGGTTTTCGAGCAAACGCCATGGCACAGACCGCATCTCCTCCGAACATTTATTTGTTACGTAAATGCCGCAGCGCCTTTTTCTACGCGTGCTGTCGCAACCATGCGCTCACACACAAACTTGGCAGCAATTGTATATCATCGATGCTTTTGTTTACGGTTCGCAACATTCGGACTGGGTTCCCATTGTCCTAATTAGACCGACCGGGGTCCCGTGTGTGTTGGCATGTGTACCAGGCCCTGTGCATGGTGTTCATGCACGAGACCTGGTCTGTTGGCTCAGTGAGGCGCATTGGGTGTACGGTGGTGCGCGCTTCCCGACGCTTGATAGACGTAGCACGCCACTTCAGTTGTATTTTAAAACCTGTTTGAACTGTTGGTGCGGTTAGCGCTGGACTGGAGGTTAATTTTTGTCGTGCAACCCTAACTCGACATCACTAATATAAGTTCCGTGACAACTTAATGAGTGCACATTGCGTTGTCGCTATGCGTAGTTTAAATAACCTTCCGTGCGGTCTTTATACTGAGGGCGGGTTTTTAGGAGGGCATTTATAGGCCGCCGCTCTCTGGACAGCTGACAGCTGGCCTCTGCGCACCGGTCGGATCGAGCAGCCTGCACTTTTTTGACGGATTACGATTGTCGCTGGATTCGGAGCCGGACACCCTGTAGAGCATTATAAGGCAGGGTCGGCGACGTGGGCGGCCAATGCTGCCCTGGTCAATAGTCCCGCTATACGGTGTTCTGGTTTCAAAAACATGTACCGATGTAGCTATCGACATTGCCTTTACGCAATGCTCCGCCTTTACACCACGAATGAGACGTGGATGACGCCGGCCGTCTGACAGGGTGCGTTCCTTAGCACTTATCGATACCATCAGGCGAACGGCTGACCAGTGGGTACACTAACCACACTGACGCCCACTGCTGCGCGCTGACGCACACTGATGCTCACTGAAGCACACTGACGCGCACTGGTAAACACTGACGCACACGGATGCTTATGGACACACACTGACGCGCACTGATGGGCACTGACGCACACTGATGCTCACTGATGCACACTGACGCGCACTGACGCGCCCTGATGCACACTGACGCACACTTACACTGACGCACCGTGACGTGCACTGATACACACGGATGCACACTGAGCGACCAGTACGCATGTCGGCCGCGGCCCACCTGCGGGAGGACGGAGCTCTCAGACGCAGCGGCTCGTGTGCGTGCGTCTGAGGGTGCGATCGCTGCCGCAGGTCCCCCAGCCTGGTGCTACAGCAGGCGCTGAACGAGCCGGCCGACAGCTGGCCGGCCGCGCCCACCTGCGGGAGGACGGAGCTCTCAGACGCAGCGGCTCGTGTGCGTGCGTCTGAAGGTGCGCTCGCTGCCGCAGGTCCCCCAGCCTGGTGCTGCAGCAGGCGCTGAACGAGCCGGCCGACAGCTGGCTGCGCGGCCTGGCCGAGGAGCTGATCCTCGGCAGCAGCCGGCCGCCGGGCTCGGCGCTGCTGCGGCTCAGCTGCCAGCCGCGCGCCTCCGTCCAGGAGCCGCGCCCCTGCCAGATGACCATCAGGCCCGGAGAGGTCAGCGGTCCGGGGGTGGGGGAGGGGGGGGGGGGGGGCGGTGGCGAGGCTCGGGCGGGATGTGGTGAGAGGAGAACGCCACGAGAAGACACGGCGGGGTAATATGCAGTAGTCTGTTGAAGACTGGAAGGGTTTGTTGGGGAAGAGGAGTGGCAGGACATCTGAGCATAGACTTGTCTTCGGCATGGAGAGGTCTTTGATCTGAGGAACGATTGCGGGCGCTTCGAGGCACCCGCAACGTTGTGTGACCTGTGACATACCAACTGTACATGCTGTATTACAGAGGCGGGGCCACCGGCGTTACGAAGGCTTATTATATCATATATTTCAAAATACCTTAAAATGTTAACGGTTGTTTGAAACACGCCCCAAGGGTCAGCCAAGTATACCTTGTTTCTAGAAATGTTTGGCTCGGTGGCCTGGCCGGCCGGCCGTCGGCCCTGCGGCCGTTGCGTTAGCTCTAGCAGCTGGCTGCCGCCGTGTCCACAGCCGGTGACGGCGGTCGTGGCGGACCCGAACGGCGAGGAGCTGTACATCGGCCAGCCCAGCGGCGGCCGTGCGACTGTACAACCTGGCCTCGGGCCGCGAGACCCGCAGCTTCGTCGGCCACGGAGAGCCATCACAAGTGGGTCCCCGCTTCCGCTCCCGTCGCGCGAGTCGCTGGCTCGCCGGTCCCGGCTGGCGATGAGGGTCGGCCGTTGCGGCCCTGCTCCGGCGGGCCACCAGGGTCGCGCGGGAAAAGACTCAGTGCGCATCGCTGAAAAAAACCGCGATCCCATCAGCCACTGCGGCCTTGCATTGCGTTTGAGCGTTGTTCTGAAGCCGAGCTGGGCGTGTGCTCGTGGTCGGGCTGAGCCGGCGCTTGCTGGCCGCGGCGCGCGGCGCGTGGCGCGCGCCCTCTGATCGTCAGGCGCCGCCGCAGGTCTGGCGCTGCTGGCGGACGGCACGCTGCTGGTGAGCGGCGCCGCCGACGGACAGCTGAGCGTCTGGGAGACGAGCTCCGGCGTGCGGCTGGCTGTCACGGCCGCCCACCGGCGCCGCGTCGCCTGCCTGGCCGTCCAGCCGGACACGGACGAGTTCGCCTCGGTCGGCTGGAGCTGTGACGTCAAGGTGCGTCGGCGAAGCCGCTCCCGGCGCCGAGGGAGCCCCGCGCCCGATTGCCGGCTGCAGTCTCGCCGGCGCCCGAGTGTGTGGTCTGTTTGTCGCGGTAGTGGTATTGGAGCGCGGTTCGTCTCTGCCACAGTTGCGACGACCCAGGCTCATGTCACCCCCGTGTCACAGCTGTATTGCTGAAACTCCGCCTGCTCTCTGCCACGGTTTTGGTGTTTCAGCCCTTTTTGCCCGTGTCACAGCTGCAGTGGCCCAGCCCGTCTATCCCCATGTCACAGCTGTGGTGTCATAGCCCGTCCGTCCCCATGTCACAGCTGCGTTGTCCCAGCCCTGTCTGCCTCCATATCACAACTGTGTTGTCCCAGCCCCGCCTATCTCTATGTCACAGCTGCGTTGGTCCAGCCCCGTCTGTCCCCATTTCACAGCTGCGTTGTCCCAGCCTCGTCCGTCCCCATGTCACAGCTGTGGCGTCCCAGCCCCGTCTGTCCCCATGTCACAGCTGCGTTGTCCCAGGCCCGTCTGTTCCCATGTCACAGCTTTGGTGTCCTAGCCCGTCTGTCCGCATGTCGCAGCTGCATTGTCCCAGCCCCGTCTGTTCCCATGTCACAGCTTTGGTGTCCTAGCCCGTCTGTCCGCATGTCACAGCTGCGTTGTCCCAGCCCCGTCTGTTCCCATGTCACAGCTTTGGTGTCCTAGCCCGTCTGTCCCCATGTCACAGCTGCGTTGTCCAGCCCGTCTGTCCCCATGTCCCAGCTGCGATGGTCCAGCCCCGTCTGTCCCCATGTCACAGCTGTGGTGTCCTAGCCCGTCTGTCCCCATGTCACAGCTGTGGTGTCCTAGCCCGTCTGTCCCCATGTCACAGCTGTGGTGTCATAGCCCGTCTGTCCGCATGTCACAGCTGCGTTGTCCCAGCCCCGTCTGTCCCCATGTCACAGCTGTGGTGTCCTAGCCCGTCTGTCGCCATGTCACAGCTGCGGTGGTCCAGCCCGTCTGTCGCCATGTCACAGCTGCGTTGGCCAGCCCGTCTGTCCCCATGTCACAGCTGCGGTGGTCCAGCCCCGTCTGTCCCCATGTTACAGCTGCGGTGTCCTAGCCCGTCTGTCCCCATGTCACAGCTGTGGTGTCCTAGCCCGTCTGTCCCCATGTCACAGCTGCGGTGGTCCAGCCCGTCTGTCCCCTTGTCACAGCTGCGTTGTCCCAGCCCCGTCTGTCCCCATGTCACAGCTGCATTGTCCCAGCCCCGTCTGTCCCCATGTCACAGCTGTGGCGGTTCCGGTCATCGTCGGGACTCGGCTCGCTCGGCTCCGGCGGTGGCGAGCTGCAGGAGCTGCGGGTGCTGTGCCAGGAGACGCAGCCCTTCAGCTGCGCCGCCTTCCACCCGACGCGGCCACTGATCGCCACCGGCGGCTGGGACGGCAAGATCAAGATCTGGGACACGACCGACATGCAGCGGAAGGCGGTGAGAGCATGGGGGGGGGGGGGGGGGCGTGGGACGGGGCGTCGGTGCGTGTTTTCCAATGCCTTGTAGAAGCAAAGCCTCTCTAATTAGTATTGTCCTCAGCTTGAGGCTGATATAAGAGGACGTTTTTAAAAATTAATTTACAACAGCTACCGCTACTGAACGCTCGCCTTGAAATCAGGGGCAGAGCTGTTGCTCTCCTTTCTCAGCATCATCTGTATCGTATCATGTTCGGGAACGAATGTCGACACTTTTATTAAGTGGTGGACATCAGCTGGCGTGCCTCAGTGTGGGGCCCTCCATGTGTTGGCTGCGTGATATCCTCAGCGTTCTCCGTGCGTCTTCAGGTGCGGCACGGTCACATGGCGGCGGTGCGGTGTCTGGCCATCTCGCCAAACGCCGACTACCTCGTGTCAGGAGACCTTGCCGGTGCCTCATCATCTGGGGCACCAAACACGGCGACCCGGTGAGAGTGTGGCGCTCTGTGCTCAACGTCCGCTTCTTCCGAAGTGCTCCCGGCCCGCAAAGCACGAGGACGACGATCATTTGGGATTTTCTGTCGTGGAACTTGAGTTCTTACCTTGAAAATGGCCGATCTTCAATCTGCAAGGAGATGCTGGTGGAAAAAGTATCAAGCTGTTGTGGAGACATGTAGGCTTGCCTACATTTCCAAAATTGTTGATGGCCACGGGTGAGCAAAGTTGAGGAAAAACGTGATAAAACAAAGTGGGATGGTGGAATATAGAAAACATACGAAATATATGCAGACTACAAATGAAAGAACACAAATAATCTGTTTTGAAATAATAATTGAAGCACGCGCATTCTAACAGCGATGCACGCCGGCCCGCTTTGTGCTGGTGTTTCAGTAATTGCCCGACGTCTTCGCATAATTGGCACCTATTAGCCTACCGTGGGCCGGTTGAATGTAGCATAACAACTCAAAATCCCATTAACACCAGGAGCTTAGTAATTGTTTCATTGTCATAAACAGCAAAATGACCTGTTTGGTCATGACCCTCGTCCCCTTCGAGCACGATCCTGCGCTCTTGCACGCCTCTTGGAAAGAGGATTTGGCTGGACACGAGGCTGATCAATGAGTGCTGAAGACCTCCCGTCCGTCGTGGGGTAAGCCACATCGGCTGCAATTATTCACATCCTGTTATGTTTGAGAATGGTGTTGAGCTGGGGTATAGTGAATGTAAAAGGTAATTTTTCGGTCAACTTGTTTGTATTGAACAGGAGCTTTCGGGATAATCTCTATCCCTCGTTTACGTCCTGCTTTATGCTTTTTGCACCTATCCTTCGCGCGTCTTCTTACATTTATTCTTCGCGCACGTCTTATTCTACGCGTCTTCCACATACCCTTAACGCGACATTCACAAGGTGTAAGTAAAACCCTTCAGCAAAGATCAGGCCATGACGGGACGGAGAGATAATGGGATGTGGGTTGGCCAGTCCGCGCGAAATTGTGGCGGACGAAATCGATAGCAAGAGTGAGGTCGCGGTGGTGCTGGAGGTCCAAGCAGAATTGATGTGGGTTGATACAGCGACAAGTCACGGCGCACCGCTCTGTGTTGTGATGGCCGCGGGGTGTATGCAGCCCAGCACGTGTGTCGGCCGCGGGCGGAGGCGGCGGCGCTCAGTCGTGGCGCCCGCGCTGGGTCGCTGCTGCTCAGTTCGCCCGTCTGCGCCCGCAGATCCAGAAGGCGTTCGTGCACAAGGGTGCCGTGCAGGCCGTCTGCTACCTGAGTGGACAGAGATTCGTCTCCGCGGGGCGCCGACGGCGACGTGAAGGTGAGCGGCGCGCGGCTGGCTGGCTGGCTGGGTGCCTGCCTGCCTGCCTGCCTGCCTGCCTGCCTGCCTGCCTGCCTGCCTGCCTGGCGTGCGCTGCCTCCCGATCAGTTCTCAGCTTTGGCAGCTGTCCCAGCTTCCTGCGTTACCCGCCGTCCCAGGCCCAGTGTGCTGGTCTTACCGGCGCTCAGAGGTGCTTTACGCGGGAGGCCTTCGTCGGGCACGCGTGGCTGCGGCCTCGGGAGACCGTTCCGCCCGAGCCCTGTTCTTCGGCCATCCCGCCAGCGGCCGGCTCCCCTACACCGCTCTGGCCGCGGCGGCAGGACGCCCCACGCCTGCGTTGGACCCTGTCCAGTCACGCGCGGCTGTTGGTCCCTGCCCTGCCACGCCAAATGAGACCGTTAGCTCGTGGTCTGCCTGACCAGCCCTGAACGCCCGTTGGTACGTCGTGCTGTGAGATATCATCGCTGGATACTGTGTTGTTTCTTCCGATGAGTCGGCGGACCTCTGTTCTGTGCCGTCGCCGGTGGCCGCCGGCTCGCGTCCTCTGCCGTCACCTCAGACGACCGGGCTCTTCCCTCTGCCGCCAGATGTGGCGCGCGCACGTCGGTGAGGAGGTGCTGCGCGTGCCGTCCGCCTCGGCCGTGGTGCTGGCGTGCACCGCTGCCGCCGGCGGCGTGCTCACGGTCAGCCTCAGCGGTCAGGTGGCCATGGCGGAGGCGGCCAGCGGCGCGCCGCGCTGGTCGCGCCGGCTCGAGAACGTGACGGCGGCGGTGTGCGACGGCCAGCGCGCCTACCTGGCTGCCGGGCGTGCGCTGCACGTGCTGCGACTGAGCGACGGCCACTCGGAGCGACAGCTGGCGCCGGACGCGCGCATCACCAGCCTCACCTGCATGCCCGAGGGCGCCGACGACAGCCACCTGGGCGTTGCCATGCTCGGTAAGTGCCGGTCGTCGCCCGGCGTGGGCTCTGCCCAGGCGCTGCGCCCGTGCTGTGCGCCGCGGGGCCACTGTTCGCTGCGTGTGCGGTGTCGGATTGCTGTCACCTGGGCGCGCCGCCGGTCCGGCGACGGTCGTGCGCTGACCTGGCCTGACCTGGCGCCGGGCCGCAGGTCTGGAGGACGGCCGGGTGGCGGTGGCGCTGGCGGACCGCGGCGACCTTGTCTCCAGCCTGGCGCACGCGGGCGAAGTCACCTGCCTGGCGTTGACCAGCGACCCTATCCTGGCCTCCGGAGGACGGGACGGCGTGAGTTGACTGCGCTCGCGCGTGTGCCGCCGTCGAGCGCGGGCCGCTTCGTTCGGCGTCGCCCGGACTCTGGGCCGCCGTGGACAAGGCTTTGCATAGGACTAGTCAGCCGGTGCAGAGGTTGTGCTTTAAGGGTCAACCGGCCATCTGCTGTGCTTTTGTCTGGGCATGTTGGAGCCGTTCCGGTCCGGGTGTCTGCCCGATCGGAGGGAACCGGTGTCGAACGGTCCGCACGTGATCGCTCTCGGCGGGTGGTGGGGGAGAGCGGGGGCCCGACTCGGCGACCGGTGGGGGAGAGCGGGGCCCGACTCGACAGTGGATGGAGGAGGGCGAGGCCCGACTCGGTGGCCTGTGGGGGCTGGGGAGAGCGGGGCCCGACTCGACGGCCGGTGGGGGAGGGCGGTGCCCGACCCTGCGGCCGGTGGGGGAGGGGAGGGTGCCCTACTCGGCAGCCGGCTGACCGCGCCCTCCCCGGCCCCGTCAGATGGTTTTGCTCTGGACGTCGGACGACGGCTGGCGGGCGCCGGTCCGCTCGCTGGAGGCGTTCTCCGTGCCTGTGTCGGCGCTCGCCTGGTTGGAGAACAGCCTGCTGGCGGCCGGCCAGGACTCGCAACTGGTGGTCTACGCGGACGCCGACAAGCCCGACAGCGACGAGCTGACTCGGCGGGTCATCACCGGCAACGACGCGCCCGTCTGCTCGCTGGCCGTGGCGGTGAGTGGGGTCTCGGCCTGACCACGGGCACGCGTGCCCAGCCGCTCGTTGGAGCGGGAATCGCCTGCTGCTACAATAGTAAGGTCTGGAATTGCCAGTGCCGGCACCTTGGCGGCACTGCGGCGGTCAGGGTCGTCAGGAATGTACGCGTGTCGCCGTTTTCTTTCTCCCTCTCTCTCTCTCTCTCTCTTACCAATTTCGGTACCCGTTCAATGACGATCGCCGAGAGCTCGTGCTGCCAACTCGCCTGATCTCCGCTAGTCTTCATCTTTCTTAGAGCATCTTCAAGTCGTCAGGTCCTCAACCAGGAGTGTGGTTTCCTGTTCGGTTGGGGGGGGGGGCGGGGGGGGGGGGAGGGGGCTTCAGCCCCTCCCTGTGGGAATAAAGCTGGCAAAATCTGCGGAGAAACCTGTTTGTTGGTGTATTTTGTTGGTAGGTTGGGCAATGTGTCACTGTTCAGCGCGCCCAGCGCGCAAAAAAAAAACTGCGATTGTCTTCGTGTCCACACCCAAGACCATGCGACGGCCGCCCGTAGCGAAGGCCTCCCGTCCTGTCCAGGAAGCACTGCAGTCCCGTCCCTTTGCTAACGTGGAATGTCTGAACGGCAAAAAATCGACAGTGATCGAAGTCGAATCGGGAAAAGACGAAGGACAAAAAATACCCAGACGGAAATTGTAAAGAGGCAAAATCCGGCGTGGATGGAAGCCAAGCAAAACAAATTGTGACGGCAGCCAAAGCCAGGGACGGTCTGCCGATGGGCAAACTTTAATTCAAAGACGGTCACATGATTATGCAATTAAAAATATCAGTGCAATTCAAGTGATGTATGGTGAAACGATTTCCCTACCTCACCGGTTCATATGACCATTGATTACAAGCGTAATGTATCACATCCACGAAGGAGGAGGAACAAACAAATGAACATGAACGCGTCGCATGGCATCGAAAGCTAATAATGACTGGCATGGCTCTGTCGTCAATTTCTGCCCCGCGAGCAGATCTGTGCCTGGTTCCCAAATTGTGTTCTTCAAAAACCGGTTCCAGGTTCCAGAACTAGGGAGAAAACAAAAATAAGTTTGGAATAAAACCGGGGACCACCAAGAGCTGGGATCCAGCAATGACTTGTGTTGAGAGAACAGGCAAGAACTAGGAGCCAGCTTGATAATAAACGAGAGCATACAGCAATAGCCGACATTCGGCTTGGGATATGCAGAGATTTAGAAAGAACGGGACCCATCCTGAAATTATGCCGAGAGATCTAGTGAGAATTAAGAGCCAGCCTGGCATGCGGCTAAAAATCAAGCGCGAGCACAGATCCAGCCGGGAATTATGCTGAGGATCCAACAAGAACCAACTTCCACTATGTGGTGGAACTGACCAGAACCGAGATCCTCCTGGAATCGTTGCCAGGAACTAGTGGGTATTCACACAGTTCACTGGTATTATGCACGACGCACTTGTAAATGCCACGTGTGAATATGCGATAAATATTGTGCCGTACACGTCATACGTTCAATGATAGCTAGTCGTCAAATGGCAGCCCAACTTGTGTTTACGAGTGAGATCTAATGTCTTTGTAAGCAGTTGGGAGCAAAAACCAAGGTCTGGTATCTGTGAGAAACCAGTGACAACCATGAATCAGGGCCTGGTATTTTGTGAATGGATGGAGGGAACAAGGAACCAGAAACTGGTGTTTGTGAAATGTCTAGTGGTAACCAGGGTGTGGAAAGTCATTGAGACCCTTGAAATAGGTTGTGGTGTTTGTGGAGGGACTAGTGGAACCGGGAGCCCATATTTCTATTTACGAAGGAACCAGTGAGGACACGCAACCATGATGCGGTGCTTGCAAAAAAACAGATATGACCCATGCACCAGGCGGTGTTGTTTATGAAGGACCAGCCGTAACCAGGATCCAATATCGCGTTTTTGAGAGTGGGAAGGGGAACCAGGACATGCCTGCTCAGAACCAGGACTAACAAAAAACGGAACCTGCGAGGGGCGCCACCGCTTTGCCGCTTGCCGCCGTAAGTCATGCTCGCTCAGACACTGCCAAATGGATCTTTTGATTCCTGCTTTCGGTACTGTAAGGGGTCATTAATAATTCGCTCGAATTCTTAGCATGCCTAACGTGACGCAGGCACTGGACCACCTCCGGGAGCCTGATGTGACGCGAGGAATGATGGACTGCTCGGGTGCACGGTCGGATATCTGGACGCTGGAACGTCAGGAAGCTGACAGGCGCGCCCGCGAGGCCAAGCGAGCACGCTTGGCCGAACTGGAGCGCGCTAAGGCGGCAAGCCGCCTGTCCGGTGCAGACAAAGAGCCCGTCCCCCGAACCAGCACTCCATCGCCACGAAAGCCGGTGGAGGCCCCCGCTGGTGCCTCGAACCCCGGTAGAGGCCCACCAATGGGCCCCCCCCCCCCCCGCCTCCACCCCGGGCTGGGTACGCTGGCGTAAAGCGTGCCCCAGCCGGCCCCCCATCTCCATCTGACGGAGGTAGCCCAAGGATTCGTCCTAGGGTGGGGCACGGCCCCCCGGAATTAAGCCGAAGCTCTCGGTCTGAGGCGTCTGGACATGCAACTGGTGCAGCCGAATTTTTTTAAGCCGGGATTGTTTTAGCTCCTCACATCTTACCTCTTTTTTAATACGCCCTTTTACAGGCGTTTTTTACAGTGGAACTGTAGAGGATTAAGGGCGAACGCCCTCGATCTCGAGGCTGTCGTCAGCAGGGTCTCTCCTGCAGCCGTGGCGCTGCAGGAGACCAAGCTAGCGCCTGACAATTTTTGCTCTCTGAAAGGATATGCGATGTTTCGCAACGACGTGTTGACGGAGAGCATCGCTCACGGTGGCGTCCTCCTGGCAGTTCACCATAGCGTGCCAGCGAGGAGGCTAAGCTTGCGGTCCACACTTCAGGCTGTGGCCGTACGGCTTTATTTCAACCATCGTCACATCACTGTTTGCCTCACTTTACCTTCCACCAGGCATTGCTTTTCCGTTGGCGCACCTTAGGTGTCTGCTGGCTGAACTGCCTCCGCCACTTCTTCTTCTCGGCGATTTTAATGCACATCACACCGCATGGGGGTGTGACGTCACCAATGCTCGTGGGAGGCTGTGCGAGAATTTTATCCACGGTGCTTCACTATGTATTTTAAACACAGGAACTCGTACGCATTTTACAATGCCGTCCGGCCAGACGTCCGCACTAGACTTAAGCCTCTCCAGTCCCCAGCTCGTCCAACACCTCGAGTGGAGTGTTGGAGATGACCCCATGGGAAGCGACCACTTCCCAGTGTGGGTCCGGTTTAAGAGAGGTGGAGCGTTGGGTGTTCGGCCACAACGCTGGAATTTTAAGAAAGCGGACTGGTGTGAATTTGAGACTCGGCTCGACGAATCGTTCGTAACTGAGGCTGTGAGGACGGTACCCTCTATTGAGGTTTTTACTCACAGACTTCTAGAGTGTGCCAACAGCTTTATCCCACGCACGTCTGGCGCTCCCCGACGTACTCCTGTTCCGTGGTGGACGGAGGAGTGTCGGAGCGCCATCCGGGCGCGTAAACGTGCGTTTCGGGCTTTTGACGCCAGGAGTACTACAGAAAACCTCATAGCCTTTAAGAAAGCGAGGGCTTTTGCTCGGCGCACCGTAAGAGAGGCGAAGCGTGCGTCCTGGCATGCTTACGTGAGTACGTTGAACCGGTTCACACCAACATCGCAGGTATGGTCTCGAATTAAGCGCATATCTGGGCACTTTACATCCATGGCTCTTCCGGTACTATGTGTGAACGGACAGGCCGTGACGCGCCCCTTGGAAGTTGCGAACGAGATTGCCCGGGCGCTGGCCTACCGCAGCGAAGGTGGCAACACTAACCCACAGTTTGTGCGGCACCGAGCGCAATGTGAGCAATCTGGAGTGGATTTTTCAACGAGTGAGCTACATTGTTATAATGATCCATTCACCCTAGTCGAGTTGGATTGGGCGATTGCCAAGCTTCGCAGCGTGTCAGAAGGCCCGGACACTGTGCACAACGACATGCTCAAGCATTTGCCGCGTCGCGTGCTTCGCGTTTTATTAGCGGTATTTAATGCGCTTTGGGCCAGTGGGGACTTTCCAGCCTCTTGGCGAGAAGCTATAGTCGTTCCTATTTTGAAACCGGGTAAAAGTGGACTGGATCCTTTACACTATAGACCTATTTCTCTCACTTCATCGCTCTCTAAGTTGATGGAAAAGATGGTTAATGTCCGTTTAACTTGGTTTTTAGAACACCACGGCGTTTTTACAAACGCCCAGTGTGGCTTTAGAAAGAATCGCAGCACAGTTGACAATCTTTTAGTTCTTGACACTGCGATTCGTATGGGATTTAAAGCAAGCCGACACATAGGCGCAGTGTTCTTTGACATAGAGGGCGCCTATGACACCACATGGCGTCAAGGCATCCTTCTCAAGCTACACAGGTATGGTATACGCGGCAATATGGGGACCTTTCTTCAAAACTTTCTAGTTGACCGTTCTTTCCGTGTCCGTGTTGGAGACGCGCTCTCTGAGAGGCATGTTCAAGTTAATGGGGTGCCCCAAGGCGGCGTTCTCAGCGTAGCTTTGTTCGCCGTTATGATCAACGACATCGGGATGGGGCTTCCGCAGTCTGTAGGTCGTGCGCTTTTTGTTGATGATTTTACTATTTGGACTAGCGCAGCAAGACCACCATCGATGGAACGCCAACTCCAGTTAGCTGTTGACCGCGTTGAGAAGTGGGGTACCATGAACGGGTTCAGGTTTTCACGTAGCAAGACTGTAGCCATGCATTTTTGTCGTAGCCGGCAATGCGGTGACCTTTCTATCCGTATGTATGGACAATGCATCCCAACTGAGCCTGTGGCTAGATACCTTGGGGTATACTTTGACCGCCGACTTACATATAAGGCACATCTTAAAACGCTACGTGAACGCTGTTTTAAATCTTTGAACGTATTAAAATGTGTTTCGCGCACGTCGTATGGCGGAGATCGGAGCACGCTTTTGCTGCTGTATCGGGCAATCATACGCTCTAAGCTGGACTATGCATGTTTTATTTATGACAGCGCATGTGAGTCCACGAAACGGATCATTGACACCATCCATCACACTGCTTTACGTGCCATCACAGGGGCGTTCCGTACATCTCCTACCCAAAGCCTCTTGGTAGAATCGCACGAGCCGCCGTTGTCAGCGAGGAGGAAAATGCTTGGCATGCGTTATGCACTGAAGCTGCGACAGTTTCCGTGTCACCCCGCATATCACGCAGTCTTTCCGCGGCCTGCTGTGCCGTTTGTTCGCAATGCACCTCGGGCGCATGCAGTGACCTTTGGCTCCCGGATACAAGCCTTACTGCGGGAAACCGAAATTCCCATTCGAAAGGTGAAGCGATCACGTCACCTGTGCACTCCTCCCTGGCATTTGATCTCACCCTTCACAGACACATCTCTGACTGAAATGAAAAAAGGTGTCTCGCTGCCAGATATAATGAGGTCCAGAGCGTTTGAGCGTATTGCGTTATATGAGGGCTACACACACACTTACACGGACGGCTCTAAAACTTCTGATGGTGTAGGCTGTGCGTTTGTGAGCGGTGGCGTCACCCGGTCGTTTTCATTGCCCCCAAACGCTTCGGTGTTTACATCAGAGCTTATAGCAATCATTAAGGCACTATGTTTCATTGAAGTCGGTGACGAACCCTTGCATCTCATTTTGACGGACTCTCTGAGCAGCGTTCTGAGTGTGAAGTCTTTTTATCCGTCATGTCCCCTTATACAGGACATTTTAATACGTTTGACTCATCTGGATGAGGCCGGAAAGAAAATCATGCTATGTTGGGTTCCTAGTCATGTCGGCATCGCGGGCAACGAGCTGGCTGACGCGGCTGCTAGGCGAGCAGCGCTGGCTCCATGTGTTCACTCTCTTTCTATTCCTGCCAGAGACTTTTACCCCGCACCGCACCTTCCTGCACAACAAGTGGCAGCGTTGTTGGGACCGGATGGATTGTAATAAGCTCAGAGAGATAAAACCTAAGCTAGGTCAGTGGTTCTCTTGTTCGCGGAAAATGCGGCGAGAGGAGGTGATCCTCTGCAGATTGCGCATCGGGCACACATACGCAACCCACGGCTATATGTTGGAGGGAGCCGATAAACCGATCTGTCATCGATGTGGTGCCGTCCTCACCGTTCGCCATATTCTTATTTCTTGTCCGCGCCTCGCGGAAGAACGCCAACGCTATTTTGGACAGCATGACTTGCCCCTTACCATCTGTGATATGCTAGGAGATAAATCACCATTTCTGGAATTTCAACAGATCTTTTTGTTTCTCAAACACATCAACTTTGGGACCATTTATGCGGCTCATTAGATAGGTAAAACCAAACTCGTTATGGGCGCCAAATGACCACCGCAGTCGGCGCGCCCCTAAACTCCAATAAACAACAACAACAAGCTAATGCCTCCCCATAGGTGTTACGCGGGCCGGGAGGAGGGAGGGACGGACAGCAGAGGAAGGGGGGGGGGGGAGGAAGCTGTAATGGCGGGCGATATCTACGACGGCGCCGGTCGCGGCACCCAGTGTCACCTGTGTGGCCTGCGCGGCTGCTCTGGTCGACCGAAGGGCTGCTAATCACACGCGCACCAATGCCGAACATCACGCTACGTACGCCACGTGAACAATGGTGTACAGAGCTGCGTATTTTGAGATAAGGGGTATGCAGGTTCGACTCTTGACGCTGGAGCGGCTTGGAGTCGCGATCATTGGGACTGCAATTTGTTCTAGTCCATGATAAGGTCGACCATCCAGCGCCTCTGTCGCGTTATGCGACCTTGATGACTCAAACACGGCACCATGTCTGCCTTTTATAACCGGACGCCAGCCATCAGAATTACTTTTGCGGGTATTAGTCGCAGAGCGAATTGTTACCGGCAGCGTTTAGGGGATAAGCCATCCCACCATCATTCGAAGCTGGAGCACAAGAGCACTAGCCCACCAGCTGTTGTGACACAGGGGTTCGGTATACAGCCAACTTTGCACATCGCGCACGTCTGTCAGATTGGCTGAATGCATTTACACCATTTCGTATTCTCTCTTGCAATTGCGGTATTTGCGCCACGTGTCGGAGAATTCGATCCAGCCGGCGCCCACGCACCCGTTCGGGCCGTAGTAGTGCTCCTTGACGAAGTCGTCGCAGTCGATGATTCCGTCGCCGTCGCAGTCCGAAGGCAGCTTCTGCAGGAAGAGCTTCACGGCCAGGGTGGCGCACGCCGGGTTGCTGGCGCACCTCTGGAAGGTGTAAGCCTTGTAGAGGTTGGCCCGGCTGGTGACGTTGCTGGTGATGAAGTAGTCCTCGTTCATCATGTACGCGCCGCACACGTCATTCTGGCAGCCGACGCTCCAGTCGCAGCCGCGCGCCTGGCAGATGCAGCGCAGACAGTTCTTGCTGACGCGTACCGCAGAGGAGCGCCGGGCCAGACTGTGTGCTGGGCTGGCCTGCGCGGCAGTCAGCAGTAGCAGCAGCAGCAGCAGCGTCAGCAGCGGCAGCGGCAGCGGCAGCGCCGGCGGGGGCGCCCAAGACATGGCGTCAGGTCGGCAGGCGGTCACGGATGGCACTAATGGCCGAGGCGGGGCCTCCAGCCGTCGGCCAGGGCCGGCCGGACGGACGGCAAACCTGTCGGCGCTCCACCAGCTAGCCTGAGGGCGGTGCCCGCCGCCTGGGAATCCCCGGCCGCTACCAATGTCAGAGGCCCCTCGGGCGGACCGACCAGTCCACCACTCCGACCAGCTGGTATGGCGCCGTGTGGGAGCCAACCAAGGTCGTTAAAAAGCAAGCGATTACTTCGCAGTAGGCCTCGTCGGCAAACCGACATATGCGCAGTTCTGGCGGAGTTGATGTGATATTCATTCGGCGGGGCCAAGGGTATAAAACCGGTTCAGAGGCGTAGCCAGGGCTTCGCCCAGGGTAGGGCCAGATCGGGGCATAGGGGCTCTTCCAACCATGAAGCCCCCTCGTCGTCGCCAGGGACCGTGTTTGGGTTCCAGGCCATGCATGCTTGGGGATTATATATTGATGCTTCAGGGGTTGTTTGTTACGATTTTGAAGTGCTACTGGCGCCTTAAACTACCAAAAAGCACTGGGGCCTTCTGTCCCGGGTAAGCCTTCTCCACCTCCAGGGAGGGGGAGGGGCGAAGACCATGGCCCTTTGAACTTCTAGAAGTGCTGATTGGATTCCAATTTTTTGGAGCTCCTCCAAAAATTATAATCCAATTTTGGAATGGGATGGACGGGGCAAATATGTTCGGTGTTTGATAGCTGATATCATGCTGTCATGTCACTTATTGGTAAACATCTCATTTAATGTAATGCTGTTCGCTTTCAAAATAGTTTGATTCTGAAGCATAAACAAGTTGTTGATGAGCCGCACTAGAAAATGATACGTTTTGACACATGAGATTAAAAGCTTCTTTTATGAACAACGATAGAAAGGGCATCGATCGTAATGTTTTCAGGAGATCCCGTGATCCTCATCTCTTGCCTAGTCACGATTGGTTAGCTCTCACCAGCTGATTAAGCTGCCGTCGTCGAGCTCTGTGATAGGCTCAGCGGACAGCGATGTGCATTGTAAATTGTTGATGTTTTCACGAACGCCCATGCTACACATTACTTAACCACGATCATGTGCTTTCTGTTTGGTCGATTCTAGTGATGAATGCAACGCCGCGAGAAATGACGGGTTATTGGTTGTAGTTAAGTCATTTTTTATATAGGCAGGACTTTTTTGAACGTTTTGGACGACCCAATTTTTAGGCACACTTGGACGGACAGTGGGTCCACCTTTCGTCTTTGGATTGGACCACGGACAGGAACTTTAAAAACGGCACCTCTGCTAGCTACGTCACTGAACCGGTTCAGCAGCGATCTAAGTGATCGCCTTCTTCGTCGCCGGGGCTTTGCGACGCATGAAGCCGCCGAGACTATGTGGCGACGCCTGCCTGTCACCCTCCGCAGGGGAGGGGATGATGGTCACTGCGGAGAATCGATGTGTCGGGTGTCAGTCGGGACACTGGCACATGATGTGTCGGGTGCCAGTTGAGTCAACTGAGCGCTGGGTGTCAGCGGCACGCCCATGCCGAGCTAAGTCCTGACCTCACCCCACGTTTGACCGGCAGGGTAACCACGTGCTGAGCGCCACGGCCGGCGGTCAGGTGCTGCTGTGGACGAGCCGGCTGGTGCCGGTGACAGAGCAGCGGTGCCGGCTCGGCTCGCGCCCCGACCTGGCGCGGCTGGCCGACGGACGGCTGGTCGGCCTGCTGCCGCAGCAGGATGCCACCGTCGTTATCGACCTGCAGAAGGTCGGTGGTCGGCCGCCGGGCCCACCGTGGCGCCGCGGCGCTGGCCGGGCACCGCGAGTCACCCGGAGTTGGGGCAGTGTTCGGTACCGGTCTGTGCACGGAGGGACGTGAGCAGGTCTAGCTAGCCGGTAGCCCCCGGACTCGCGGATATCTTTCTTCAAAAGGTGGCGCGCCACGGTGAAGCTTCGTCGAGATGGCAACCAGGTGAGTGATGTGTCTGTTCTCCCACTCTGGTCTTCTCGAGCTTTCGGCCCTTTGTTGCAGATGCACTGTGTAGCCAGCTTCGGCGATCACACTGCCGACGTCAGCAGCGTGACCGTGACAAAGAACAGCCTGCTGTCAGCGTCGCTAGATGGCAGCGTCAAGCTCTGGCACGCCGAGCAAACTGCCGTTTCATCAGTCGACTCTGGCTTCCTCACTGTGGAGCACATCTGGACGGCGGATGACCGTGTCACATCTTATGTGGTCACCGTCAGCCGGGACCGCTGTATGACTGCGTGGAAGATGAACGTCACAGACGGAAAGATGCCCACAGCGGTGTACACAGTCAAGATGAAGGAGGACACTAAGGTATGGGTTTGGTGGTCATGAGGTTAGCTTCTAAGGGACCGCAGCTGAAATATGTGCTTAGATGTGCAAAACTCCCTGGTGTATATTGTTCAGTGTCCTGCTGTCATGCATCAGCTCCGTGCATCGTGACATCCACTAGGATCGATCTACTAACACCATTCCTGTTTCGCCAAGGTACTCATTTCGTTTCCGTCGGCCGTGGGTTCGTGGTGTGACAATACCCTCAGCTGATGGCACGTGGCCATGACTATCGAGTGTGATCTTGACCTGGTGACCGGGCGTGGGCAGGCGACGCCCCTGACCGCCGCCGGGCCTGCAGAGCGAGCTGGTGGCGGCTGCGGTGGGCGCCGTCAGCCTGGACGCGGATGGCGCGCTCTCGTTCACCGCCGCTGGCGTCATGCCTGACGGCGTGTTCGCCGTGCACGTGACCCTGGAGCCGGCCGGCGGCGGCCACCACAAGCTGGACTGGTGTCCCATGGGCGGCTGGGTCACGCCGCTGCTCTGCGTGGCCGTCGGCGGCCAGCAGCGCTGCCTGCTGGTGGGCGACGCCGACGGCCACCTGACCGTGGTCAACAAGTGCGCCAAGAGACACGCCTTGTATCAGTGGTGAGGCGGCAGCCCGTCAGAACCTGTGACGCAGCTGTGTCGGGCGCGGGGGAGAGGGGAGGTTTCTGGGGAGTCGTGGGCCATCTGGCGGGGTTGTGATATCACCTCTGGGGAGTCGTGGACCATCTGGCGGGGTTGTGATATCACCTCTGGGGAGTCGTGGACCATCTGGCGGGGTTGTGATATCACCTCTGGGGAAGTCGTGGACCATCCGGCGGGGTTGTGATATCACCGCGCCGCTCCCATAGCCGGGGTCGAGTTTCTGCGACCGGATCGCCGCTGTCGCGATCGATGATGTTCACTCCTGGCCTTTTGCGCCGCGTTCTCCAGCGAGCACAATGCGCAGCCGCGTGGTGCCGCGTCGTCGCGTGCCAGCGCCGCATGCCCTCCGCACCCCGGCGTGTATGCCTCGCCGCCGAGCGGCCTGCGATGCCCGTCCGGCTGCCGCGCGCGCCGTGCGCACCGGCCTGACCCGGCGGCCGCGCGGCCCCCAGCGGCGCCGATCCGGACCCGGCCGTGATGCAGGTGCGCGCGCTGGGGACCTCGACGCTAGTGGCCTGCGACAGGAACGGCATGGTCTGTCGGCTGGAACAGTCGGAGCGCCTCAACGTGCTGCGGTGAGTGTTAAGTGTTACTGCGGGACCGGCAGGTCCTCGTCACTGCCGCCGTCCCTGCCACTGTCACCGTGTCCTCTCGCTCTGCCGGGCCCACACGCAGTGACCCGGGCCGCTTCCGTGTCAGCGGTCGTACCTTCTCGGCCACAAGGTAGCCGTCATGCCCGGCACTGGTTTTGGTCGGCCCGGCAGGGTCATTCCCAATTAATCCAGGCTCACCGAGGACTCCACACCCATTATCGGGGGTGTCACGGTGTTTGTTATACCCGAGATACAAATGTCCCCTTACATCATCCCAAATATTCAGGCGTAGGTGACAGCTGCAATAGCTAAAACACCGTTAATCGTCTTCAAATGACAGGAATGAGTTGCGTGCCAAGCGTTCCCTCGTGTGCAGATCTCCGGGTATGACTTTCTCCGCGGAGCTTGCTGTCTTGCATCTAAATTTGAGCCCTCTAGTATGCATTGCATATCACGTGTTTTCTCATGGTATCGTTCTCTTTTGATGCGCGTCTGAAGTGCATAAACACGTCCTTGTTGCAAGCAGACCATGTCTGCGCGCGCGCCCAGCGTGGTCTGGGGCCATGTCCAAGAGTGTCATCATGACACTGACCTGTGTCCGCGCGCCCAGCGTGTGTGGGATCATTTCCGGGAGTGGCATCTGACACTGACCTGTGTTCGCGCGCCCAGCCGTGGTCTGGGGCCATGTCCGGGGGTGTCATCTGACACTGACCTGTGTCCGCGCGCCCAGCGTGGTGTGGGGTCATGTCCGGGATGTCATCTGACACTGACCTGTGTCCGCGCGCCCAGCGGTGGTGTGGGGTCATGTCCGGGAGTGTCATCTGACACTGACCTGTGTCCGCCCCCCCCCCCGCGTGGTGTGGGGCCATGTCCGGGGAGTGTCATCTGACACTGCCCTGTGCCTGCCCGCGCAGCGCGGGAGTGGGAGCCGGTCTTGCCGGCGGCGCGCCGGCTGCAGCCGCCGGCCGCCTCCTCGTGCCAGCTGCCGACCGATGCCCAGCGGCGGGAGGTGCGGCCGCCGGGCGCCGACGCCGAGCCCGTGAACAAGGACGGGGCGCCGCCCGAGCCGACCGCCCTACCGCCCTGCTGGTGACCGACACTGAGCTGGTGCTGGGCGACGCCGCCGGCCGGCTCTGGTGCCGCTCCGGCGCTGAGTACAGCTGCACCAAGGGTGCGCTCCGGGACTGCCCGGCCGGCAGGCGGCAGCGAGCGCGGCAGGGGGCCGCACGGCGCCGACAGCGTCCGGCCGCTGGACTCTTGTGTCCGGCTCATGACCACGGTGTGCGGTCGGAACTCTTCAGTGCAATGCAGCAAACCTTAGCGGACTGCATTTCCGAGGCAAATTGCTGGGAAACAAACCTAATTTGGTTTAAAGGCATCAAATGATTTAACTATTGCAAATTCGCTAAAAATAGCTGTTAACACATCCGGAGCACAAAGAAATAAAGCACGAAACTGGCACGCATGGCCAGCATCACGCGTCTGTGCTAGTGGAAGGTATCTTAAACGCGTAGTGATGCCCTTTCGTCTATGTAAAAGGGTCGCCTGCCCAGTGTAGCCTGCCGCGTACGTCCACTCGCTTCATTGCCCTCGCAAATGCATGCGAACACGCGTTTATTGACAACATGAGTGCTAAAATGGCTTGTAAACTGCGCGGATACGTTCTTTTTTCTGTCTGACTTGAATACGTTGGAGCTCCGCAGCTTGCTTAAGACATATCTTACAAGATGCGTGTTAAGATGCACATTTTGGTCTTTCGCCACTGCCAACCACCATGATGCTATTCCAATGGAAAAATACTTTTTGCTCATGATGTTGCCAATGGTATTCATGTAGGATGTGCCCATCATGTCTGACGTGCTGCATAGTTAATTGGTTTATGTCGCGTTGAACGTTGACTTAAAGCTTATGTTTACGCGATTGGCGATGTTTTTTCCTTCGAGTGGCAGAGATGTAAGCTGCTAGTAGATTGTCATGTACCGAACGGCAGCTCCGTTCCGGGCAGCAGAACATCCTCTGAACCCCAACTGCTGACGCTGCCAGTGGGGCGTCGTAGGCATCCTCCGGCGCCTGTCTGACCCGGGACCCCGCGCCGGCAGGCGCACGCGGCCGCCGTCACGTGGGGGGCCGTGACCCGTGCCGGCCGAGATCCTGTACAGCAGCGGCGCCGACCGGCGGCTGATGGTGTGGCGCCGCCACGCGCCGCCGACACCGCCCAACTGGAACAGGTGAGGAGCCGTCCAGGCTGCGGCGACGGCGACCCGGCCGGGGGGAGGAGGCGGCCGGCGCTGGGTTGGCGAGGGCGCGGGGTTGGACACCCGCTCCGCGAGCATGCGGTGACGTCAGGTGGGATGCATGGCAGTAGGCCGGGCTGTGGAGGGAGGCGAGCCGGCGCTGGGTTGGCGAGGAGGCGGGACCGGACACCGCCGCTCTGCGAGCATGCGGTGGACGTTAGGTGGGATGCACGGTCGTCGCTGGACTGTATGTGAGCGTGGGTCAGGGGAGGGCGGGCGGAGTGGCGCGCTCCGCTTCACCCGTGGCTGCCGATGCGGTGTGCTGGGGTCTGGACGTCTCGCGGCGTGTTGTGCTGACGTCGGCCGTCCGGGCGCCGCCAGGTTGGGCGAGTTCGAGTTCGCCAGCTGCGTGCGCCACTGCGCGCTGGTGGCGGCGCCGGCTGCCGGCCTGCCAACGGGCCTAGTGTGCGGCGACGACCGCGGCCGGCTGCACTGCCTGCAGGCCGACCTCAGCTGCGTGGCGGCCGCCGCCTCGTAGACCACGCCACCGACGACCCGACGCCAGAACTGACCAGCCCCGCGCGCGACCCGCCGTCGTGCGCCGACCCGCGCCCGGAGTAGTGTAGAGCACGCGCGTTGCTTGTAGTCGTCGCCTGTCTTCTGCTCTGCTGAGAGGCGGGCCGCGCGGGCCGGCGGGTCGTGGCGGTCGAGCCGGCGCTGTCCGCAGTCGCGCCGTGACTGGCGCGCTCAGGACGGAGCTCTGCCGGTGCCGCCTGCCCCGGCCCCGCGCGCCCCGCCTCGCAGCCCGCTCTTTATTCACTGCGCATGCCTGCGTGCCCTCGGCAGACTCGTGTTGTGTGAACAGGTACCTGCCAAATTCACGGCGATCCGCCAGTGATTGAAAGTTGTGATATTGCGAGCATTGTGGTTTATATCGTTGATCTTTGTTATAATGGGACAGTGTGTAATCTTAGACGAGTGTTAACTGTGACCCGACGCCCCGCAGTCACGAGCACGGCTCTCGTGCCTTGGGCTGTCGCGGTTCGCTCACAGCTCTTGTTGAGCTGTGAGCGCTTCTCGTAATGTTTCGCCTGCAAACGAGAATGTTATGCTTCGTTGTGATCCATGAACCAGTCACATATTTTTTGGTTGCGTGGCAGCTGGTCTTGTAGCAGACTTTCCCGTTTGCGCCTCTGTGATCGGTATTTCTGCACTGCATACATATGCGTGGCTTGAAATCTGTTTCACCGTGACTGCTCGGGGATCGATGAACGCACGGATGCCCGTCCTTTGGTACTTCGTTCACAAAGTAGACCGAAAGATGAAACACAAGATGGCAAACACAGAAGGCGCACAACGTTGTGACAACCTTTAGCCATGGCCGCTATACCTGAGCTTTAGGATTCTTATGATCTGCCATGCTCTTCTCTTCAGTGACAAGGCATTCTAGTGGTGTGAAACATAGCATGCAAGGCGCGGTCAACAAGTCACATATAACAGCAGAAAACGCTTCTGTCTGAATTTGGTTGCCATCGCTTTCTAGGTAGTCATCTTGCGCTGCAATGCACCTTCCCAGCGCGTCTGTTGCGCTTCGAACGCTTCCTGAACGCTCGTTCTTTCATTGCTCATCGTATTTGTTAAGTCTGGTGAAGCAACCACCAAATACCATACACAACATGGGTATTTCAGAACTCACCCAAGGCGAGGCGACAGTACAAAAGTAGCAATTCAGAGGTCACCCACAGCAATTACCAGCACCGTGTTTGTTCATTGGCCGCTGCTCCACGCAGCAGCTCGGAATGTTCTCGAGCCACGCTCACCTCCCAGCACGGTCACCGCGGTCACGGCCACGTCACGTGGTGGCGAACAGGTGCAGCAGACCCTTGACGAAGCTGACAATCTCTGAGCCGCCCAGCTTGGACTCGCCGTACACGCGGTCGACGAAGCTGAATGGGCACCTCGCCGATGCGGTAGCCGAGGCGCGTGGCGCGCACAATCATTTCCATCTGAAAGACATAGCCCTTGGAGACGCAGGCGCCGATCAGCCGGCGCAGCACGTCCTTGCGGTAAAGCCGGAAGCTGCCAGTCACGTCGCTAGCGGCTGGCTGCAGCATCACCTGGGTCAAGTAGTTGGCGCCGCGGCTGATCACCTTGCGGACGCAAGTCCCAGCCGGACACGCCGCCCGTGCCGCTGTACCGCGTGCCCGTCACGATGTCCAGGTCTTCCGCCTTCTGGAGGGCGATCATCTGCGGGATGAACTTGGGGTGGTGCGACAGGTCGGCGTCCATGATGACGATGAAGTCGCCGCGCGCGTGCTTCACGCCGTGGATGTAGGCGGTGCCGAGGCCCAGCTTCTTGGCGCGTGGTCGCAGCACGATGCGCTCTTCGCCGTAGATGCGCTGCAGCTGCTCGGCAGCCTGCAGCGTGCCGTCGGGACTGCCGTCGTCGATCACGATGATCTCGAACTTGACGCTCGCCTCGGTGAAGTACTTGACCAGCAGCCACACAATGATGGGTAGGTTCTCGCGCTCATTGTATGTCGGCAGAAGAACCGAGTACATGTGGCTGTCACCTGCATCTTGGGTCATGGTGCTAGCTGTGTTTGAGAATGGCTTGTGATGGTCTCACCTGAAAAATCCAATGCCAGTGTGGGTACATGTGGATGCATTTTTGTGCTTAATACTTAAACTGGATCCTGAATAGGCTAGATTCTGGTCAATGCTGATTGTGATGATAGCTTGAGAACCATAAATACCCAATTTATATGACTGTATCCCTGAGGCATCCTTGAGGTAGCCATCTTACATATGATTCTGCTGTCCTAGAGCATGGCATCCAAGAAATATACTACAAATACCCTAAAAGAAACCTACTAGGTGGCTAGTGGAAGTCAAGGTTACATCAGAAAAATTAAGTCACACAATCAAAGGTTATGTCTGAGCTATGGTGTACCTCACATACTAGAAGGGTTTAGGTCCCACAAGTGGCAGGGCAGTGAACTGCACTAAATAGTTTAAGATGGCTATTCCAGTTAAAAACCCAAAACAAATATGAAGCACCCTTTAAGCTATAAAGGCCAAGGAGCTGTGATTTAGGTAACAATTCAATTCATTCTGGTGATTGCTCACACCATTATTCCTACTATCAGACATTTTAGCCCTCAAGCTTGGTCAGACAGCTGAACCAAATTTAAACTGCCACCATTAGTGATGTGCCAGCCTTTCTGGTGATAAGCTGAATGTTTTGCTTGCTGATTCAGCTTGTGATCAGGAAGTTTATCTTCATGACAGGAGTGGTGATTCTGGTTGTCTGATCATGGGTGCATATTGGACCTTCCATGAACAGGGGACCCCAGCTGTGCACAAATATTGTTTTCATTGAACAGTTTAAGCCAGAACTATGTCTGACACCACCCCAACAAGAATCAAAGCAATTTCTATCTCAAAATATTTGGGCACAACCATATTTGAATGATGTATTCAATTTCTTAAAACTGACCGCTGATTTTGATGAACTGGTTATCATCCAACTACAATCCGGCTCCTGAATCCACAGACCTACTGCAGCCTGTGTTGTGTGTGTTGTGTGTAATTGTGTACCAATGGGGTCTGTCACGAAGCAACATGTCTTGCGGCCCACCGCAACTTATTTATCGAGTACTTGGCTAGAGGAGTGTAGCCCCACAAAGTAAGTTGGGGGCGGGGTTGAATAGCAAAAATGATGAAACCTACGCACAAAGCATGTCACCTAAAAGAAAATACGCCAGCTGGGGTTCTGAAGACTCCCCAAATAAAAAGGGCGATATACTAATGCCTGCCTACCTACCTATCACAAGATTGCGGTAGAAATGTGACACGTCCTTGCAGCTTCTTAGGTGTTTGAGCTGCTGTTGTGGCCGCGTACAATACTGACGCGACACCGACGTGAGCCGCCGCATGTTCTACGCTGCTGGGAGCTCGGTTCGAAAACTAAGGGATTTCTTATGTAATAAGACACTGATTTCCAGTCTTTAAACTTCAAAGATTACCAATAACTACACTAATCAATATTTATATTATTCTAAAAGCTGTTTCTATTAAAGTTTAGTACATTGAAACGTGGGAAGGCCGTCAAATAACGTAGAAGGGAAATATGACATCAGTTTTTGAACGAAGAACAAACACGACCTGAACGACCTTGGAACCAGCAGGGCCGATGCGAAGCGACGCATTGGAGAGGAGCTGAAAGGGGGCTGGGTTAGGGCCAGTGGGGAGGTGCCGCATGAGTGTTAAGTGAAGAGGGGTGTGTTCAGGGACGTGATGTAATTTGATAGAACAATTAGCTGGGGTGGTTAGCCCAACGCGGTTGTATCTCATGCGGAAATGTGACGCCTGAATTAAGCACGAAGGTGCATCAGTGGTGTTGACATTATCTATTTGTGTTTTGAACACATTCGCCAGGCTTTGTTTTTGGTTTCGGAGGATTGGCAAGTGCGCGCTTTTGTGGGACCATTCCAGTGGACATGATGTTTTTGGGACAGCAACACTGATGTTATGGGCAATGTTGTCAACCAGGGATCAAATATGGACATTTTTCTGAAAGGTTGATGTTCTCTCACTTCAGGTATTTCACTCAGGTAATCTCCCCACCCTTTCAGTCAGGCCTTTTGGAGGGAGAGGGGTTAAGCTGCTTTTGATAGCCTCATTTGTGTTTTCACCCTCTACTCCTACATATGCACACTTGAAATGCATTTGGCTCAAGTTTTAACATGGAGAACCCAGATAATAATCTGCACTGGTTTTTAAGTGAATCCTACCAATGATATTAGGAATGATTTTATGTGGACTTGGCCATGACAGAAAATGTGACAAGCAAGCTGCACTGTCCAGCCCACCATTTTTGGGTTATGCCAACAACCCATTTAGCAGTCAACTGGTCCTGAGTGTGCATCAGTACCAGTGTCTAAGATTCCTAGAGTTATTCTGCTTCCTCAACAGCCCTGTCTTTATTAAAAGCCAGGGCCAAGAATATGACTTATGGCATGTAACCTGTAATGGTGTCTGTGGGGTACAATGGATGGCACACAAGTCTTGTCTTACAGAACAGGCTGTGTATATATGCTTAAAGTAGGTCACAGTGTCTTCAATTTTTACCAAAATTGCTAAACTTTCCCAAAAAGGACTGATTTGTGAACAAGGTACAAAATTCTGATCATAATTGGCTGTGTCATTACTTTGGGTGCCTGTTTTTGTGTTCTTGTCATGACTGTGTGATACTTAATGGTCTTTGCCACTAAATGGCTGCACAGCACTGTGCATAGCAGGGTGTCTGATCCTAATACTGGTGGAATAAATGAACTTGGGTATCTAATAACATAACAATGTTATTTTCACCTAACAGGTACCATTTGTATGTAATGGATTATTTTAGTCCAGAATTGTATAACTGAGACATTTTTTAAGAGTTATACATGTTATCCAGTATTTCTATCCAGAGTTAACACAAATGACATTCCTATTCAATGTTGGTGGCTGAAGCCCTGCTTGCCTAAAATAGGTCAGGGATATTTACCTATATGTCATATCTCCCCTCTCTGTTGGATATGAGTTGGTACTCTGTTCCACCAGTGGAGGTTGAATGA